TTATGATAGTTCCGTTTATAAGACCCTTTTGACATTTCCAAACGGTATGTGATAAGACCCATGAGTCTTCTATCTGGGCTAATAAGGTAGGTTGCTAAGGGGAGAAATTAATATAGTGTGAGATCGCATGTGTGATTGTGTAAGGGTGGATTTACACGACACGTTTCCGTATCAGGGTCCCTACACTCGACCACTAAAAAAAAGCAGGGTCCCGTATAGATCTAGTTTTTCTCATAAGGGTCAAAAACTAAACCGCTTTTTAATATAAGGGTCCAACACCTACCCCAGCCTTATTGTAGGGGTCGTAAGGATATTTTACCCTAATATCCTGAGGCCTGGAGCTGGAGCAGGAGTGAGGGGACTTAATGGCCCTTCGGCAAAATCAAGCATGCAGTCCGACACGATCTGGAGCAGGTGTGAGGGGACTGACTGGCCCTTCGACAAAATCAAAGATGCAGTGTGATACGAGCTGGAGCAGGTGTGAGGGGCGCCTGATTGGCCCTTCACAAAAATCACACATGTCGTGCGACGCCAGCTGGACACAAAACCTTGTCGAATATGCGGGCCGTTCTTCTGTTTCAGTGTGATTTCGGCGATACCCTATCTGGTCAGGGTACAACTAGAAGTACTCTTACACTTTTTGACTAAGGGTCACTAAAAAATGCCCTTACAAAATCTGGGTGATCCTGAAAAGGCAGGATGTCAAAGGCATCTGGGTCACCCTCATGGACTAGCAGCATGGAGCAGAGATCGGGAGTAGCCTCGGACAAGAAAGCAAGCTCGTACAACCTATCCTCTAGGACGATACTGCCAAGGGCAGGAGCACCCCGGACGGACGGAGGACGAATAGGGTCAGATACCAGAGTCGTGGCGTTGTCAAGGCGGCGGGTAGAGGCGAAGTCAGCGACAACAGTGACAAGAGCGTCAAGACTCAAGAGAGGAACAGACGGGTCGGTAACGAGGGAGGAAAGGACCCGAGGAACAAGAGGACAAGCAGCAGGAATGTAGTCAGACAGAGGGGGAGGCGCAACAGTGAGCGACGACGGAGGAGGCGAAGGCAGGAGGGGAGGATAGAACGTGTGGGAACGAAGAACATAGGGTGAGAACGCTGAACAGGGAAGACTGGACGAGCACAAGACGGACGGCGAGACCAGACGTGAGACGGAGGCGTCGGGTCTGAAGACAGAGGAGGAGTTACAGGAGGGGAACGAGGTGGGAAGCGAGCCGGGGACGAGTCTGGAGGAGGAAACACATGACCGTGGACAGGATGGAGAGGAGGCGGCGGGGGAGGCGCAGGCGAGCGAATAGGGGAGGGAAGGCCGAGCAGGTGAAGGGCGGACACCGGCGGCGACTGCTGCTGCTACTGCTCGACACCGACACCTTGACCGCCAGCTGCACCGCGGCTACCTTCGGAACACTCCACTCCAGCACCCCCAGAACGAGCACCCCCAGAGGGAGAACCCTCTCCACCACCGGTGCCACCCCCGAGCCTGCCGGGACAAGCCACGACAGGAACCCTAGGACAAGCACCCTCCTCAACGCCACCACCCCTAGAGTCCACGAACGGCTGCTGCGGCTACGACAGCAGCGGCGACTGTTGCGGCGGCGGCGGCAGTTGCGGCTGCGGCGGCAGCGACAACGACGGCGGAGGAGGAGACACCGGGGGAGAGACAGGCGGCAAGAACTGCGCCGCAGGGCTACCAAAGTCAGCCGAATCCTCGACTGGGACAACCGACAGTAGGGGAGTGACGTAAGACACACCACACGGAGTAGGACAGGGAGGAAGGTGAGCAGGGGCTACCGGGGGAGTGGGGACCAAAAACAAGGGAGGGGAAACCGGGAGACCTCGGTGGGGAAAGCGGTGGTAAAAGGACACAAGAACTACGCCGTAGGGCCACAAGATTCAGCCGACTCCTCAACCGGGACAACCGACGGGAGGGGAGTGACGTGAGACACACCACACGGAGCAGGATGGGGAGGAAGGTGAGCAGGGGCTATCGGGGGAGTGGGAACCAGAAATAGGGGAGGGGAAACTGGGAAACCTCGGTGGGAAAAGTGGTGGTAAAAGGACACAGACTCGTTGAACGTGGCGTCACGAGAGTGAAAGAAGCGGTGAGACGGCGGGTGGTAAAAGTGCCAGTCAGAGGAGTCCAGGGGGAAACCAAGGAAGACATAGGGGACAGTACGGGCAGTGAGCTTGTCCGGGTAGAGGCACGAACGTGAGCGAGGCAGCCCGAGACGTGGAACGCGGATGCGTCACCAGGGAACCCGGTCCAAAGAAGGGTCGGCAAAACCTGCAGCCGCTGGGAGCGCGGCCAAAGGTTAAGCTGGGAGACATAGCACAGGGAGACCGCGGTGGAGGCGCGCAGCTACGACCCACGGGAAAAGAACGTCGGCCTTCCGCTCCAAGGGAAACACCGTGGTGTAGCGTGTGTAGTTGTCAACGGGCACTAGAAAGTAGCGCTCGCGACGCGGTCCAGGGACGGGGGCTGGGCCCCAGACGTCCAGGTGCAGGGTCTAGAGGGTGCGGTGGGAGGACAAAGCGAGGAGGGGTGAGGAGCCTAGACTAGACAAAGCAAACTGTCCGATGTCTAAGCTACACACAGGTGCTACACCTAAGCTAGAAAACACAGGGCAATAAGATCCTGACACACTAAAAGCGTCAGCATACAGAGAATGCAATGCAAAACTAATCTGATCCATGTCCAAGTCAAAAACAGGCACATCGTGGAACAGCAGACTGGGCCAGTCAATGAGGTCCAAGGCCGGGCCGAAGTGGCGACGAAAGAGGTCGTCGAGGCGGCGGAAGCAGCGGTCGGTCGGGTGCGGACGGCGGCACACAGAGCCACGAAGGGGTCCGGTCTGGAGCTGGTACTGGCACCCCACAGCACCGAAGCCGCCGGTAGCCGCCGAGCTGCGAGGACCGCCACCTCGGCCACCCCGTGCAGGTGCTCCCGGCCACCCCGGTGGGAGGCGGGCCCACAGCTAATGCTGCTGCTGCGGCAGCTTCTGTGATTGCTTCCGCAGCTGCTGCAGCTGCGACTGCTGCTACTACTACTGCTCCTGGACGCCTTCCCCAGCCCCCTCGTCAGAATCCCTGTCGCCGCCACCACTACCATGCCCTCCCTTGGGGCCGCGACGACCCCGACGCTGTCGCTGCTACTGCAGGAAGGCCGCCACTGTTGTCTCAGCGGCAGGAGCAGCGGTAGCGACCGCAGTGGAAACGTCAACGTACATGCACTGGGAGGGAGCATAGCCCTGAAAGTTAGGGACTGCCGCAACACCGCTCGACTGAGCGATAGTGCACTGGCGAGTCTCTATCTCAGAAAGGGCAGCGACAAAAGAGGCCAAGGTGAGGACACCAGGGTGCTGGCTAAGGAAGTGGTCGCGGACAGTGGCTAAGCGGTCAGGTAGGCGCATGGCAATAAGGTACATGGTAGCGCAGAACGGTGGGGAGAAGGAGTGAGGTGGGCAGTAGTGCTAGCAGCGCGATAGCTAGTCTCTAGTGCACGGAGGTGAGTGGCGAGATCAGCGATAGTGGTGAAAGCAGAGAGATCAGGGAAGAGCATGGGGAGGATCAAGTGTCCAGCTCAGGCGGAGGCAGGCGTAGAGTAGCGTGCAACTACTGCATCTAGGAAGTCTTTGGCGTTTGCTACAGCAGTGAAGCGGGGACGCTCGGATAGGGGAAGCGCATGACTAATGGCAAGCTGCACTACAGCATCGCGAGAATCCCAGACAGCGCGAGCGAGCGCAGCAGCAGCAATGGCCTCACTCTCAGCAGGGAGGGGATCAGGCACGGAGGGGCGGAGAAGCAAGCCATCAACATGCATAGCCAGGGAGTGCCCATCCTGGCGCTGACCTGTCAGGTGTCGGCGAAGATCGACAAGCTAGGCCGCAAAGTCGATCGCGTACCCCTCCGCGTCCAGGCGTAGCATGGCGTCCGCTATCGCGAAACCTTAGCGGCACCGGGACACAGCGGCACAGGGACACAGCGGCGCAGCGGCACAGGGACACAGGTACTCAGCTGCACAGCGAGACAGCAACGTGGCGGCAAGACTCTCCGGAACAGGGACCGGGCGCGCGAGGAGCCGGAGGGCACGCAAGGGGGGGCCGAACAGGCGGTAGGGGCCGGCTAAGCAGTAGAGGGACTGGCGGCGGCGCGAGAAGGTGCCGGCTACGCTCGAGGGGGGCGGCTGGGCGCGAGGGGCCGGCTAGGGCGCGAGGAGCCGGCGAGGGCGTTAGGGGCCGGCTAGTGCACGAGGGGCCGGCTGGGTGCGTGGGGTCGGCTGGGCGTGAGGAGCCGGCTGGGAGCGAGGGGCCGGCTAGGGCGCAAAGGGCCGGCTAGGGCGCGAGGGGCCGGCTAGGCACGAGGGGCTGGCGACGGCGCGAGGAGCCAGCTAGGGCGCAAGGGGCCGGCTACGGCGCAAGGGGCCGGCGACGGCTTGAGGGGCCAGCTAGGGCGCGAGGGGCCGGCGACGGCGTGAGGGGCCGGCTAGGGCGCGAGGGGCCGGCTAAGGCGCGAGGGGCCGACTAGGGCGCGAGGGGCTGACTAGGGCGCGAGGGGCCGGGGACGGCTCGAGGGGCCGGCGAGGGCGCTAGGGGCCAGCTAGGGCGCGAGTGACCAACTAGGGCGCGAGTGACCAACTAGGGCGCGAGTGACCAACTAGGGCGCGAGGGGCCGGGGACGGCGCAAGGGGCCGGGGACGGCACGAGGGCCGGCTAGGGCGCGAGGGGTGGCGGCTAGGCGCGAGGGGCCGGTTGGGCGCGAGGGGCCGGCGGCGGCGCGAAGGGCTGGCTAGGGCGCGAGGGGCTGGCGATGGCACGAGGAGCCAGCTAGGCGCGAAGGGGGCGGCTAGGCGCGAAGGGGGCGGCTAGGCGCGAGGGGCCAGCTAGGCGCGAGGGGCCAGCTACGGCGCTAGAGGGGCCAGGTGGGCGCGATAAGGGCCGGCGAGGCGTGGTAGGCTAGGGCGCGTGGCGGAAGCGGGTGGGGGGGGGATCTAGAATACTAGAATGATTAGAAACAAGGGTGAACAAGGGAAATATAGGGTTGGAGTTGTACTCTAAGAACATACAGTACGGTTGGTTACCTGAGTCGTGCTTATCGAGTCCCTAGGTTTTACACATTGTTTGAAGCCATCTGATGTATTCCGTTGGCATCATTGCTCCACCCTTCCAAAATATCATTGCCTTTGCTTCTTCATGCCATCCAACTTTTTGCCCGTACCATGCCCCATCTTGCGCTTGAGGCTCTTCACCACCACATTCAGTTCTGCCTTCCCACTCGCCCCACCCCTCCCCTCCACTCCATCCCCATTCTCCCCCTTCCCCCCTGCACGTTTACTCTACGCCCCCTCCCATCGCCTGTGACTGCTGCTTCCCCTCCCGGTGCTCTGCGGCGCTGCCTCTCTGCGATCAGCTGCTGCTGCGCCGACGTCCTGGTGGGGTGGAGACCAAGGGGAGCACGGGGTTTGGAAAGAGAGGGGGGGGGGAGGGGGAGAGGAAATAGAGGTGGAAAAAGAGTGGGCTGCCTTGAAGCCCGACCGGCAGGTTGCATATTGACACTGTTGAGGTAGGTGGGCCGGCAGCAGATGATTGGCTGACGAGCACTAGGTGGGGCGAAATTTTATGGCAAAGGTTTGCGTTCACTAAGGTACCTGTTTGCGTGTGAGTGCCGCGAGGGTTGAAAACTCGGCACGAGTGCCGAGTTTCATGCCTCTCATTTGGCAGGGGTTCAACTCGGCAGCAGCGCCAAGTTTCGCTCCTGCCTTGAAAGATTTTTTCCGATGCTTGGCAACCCCGCTTTCTTTCCCCGGCGCCAAGTTTGCTACAGTGAACTCCGTTCAGTGGTTCAAATTTCGCAAATTTCATTGTATTCGCACATTTACGCCTTGAAATTGTCTAACGCGCGGGGAATTACTTCCTACTCGTAGCCCTGTTTCCTGCCCTCGGGACTTGGCAGGGATGTCATACTGCCAAGTTTGCCGAGGGTTCTGCTTGAGCCAGCTTGGCCAACTCAGACAGTTCGTCGATTGCTTCCCTGTAACAGGTGCTCAAGATGATGCATCTTGAGCTGAACTGACTTGCAACCTGCCGGTCAGGCTTTAACAGTGATGGCACCGAGTGGCAAGGCGGAGTGCAATGGCATGGAGGGGATGGAGTGGCCATTGGCAATGTGAGAGCGAGGTCACCTCTGGAAGCGAGGGTCGGTGGGGTCAATGGCAAACTGCGAGGACGTGAAGAGCGCGGCGAAGCGCGGGTCCTCCACGTCCACTCCACGCACCCCCTCCTCCTTCCCACCCTTCCCCCCTCTTCCACCCCTCCCCACATCCGCCCTCCACCCACCAACCGTAGTCCTTCTCCCTGCCCATCAAGCTCCTCCTCCCCACTCCCCTGCCTCTTGCCCCTCTTGTCCGCGCGCCTTTTCTCCTTGGCCCGCCGCGCATCCGCCTTCAGGTTGAACCCCTTCACCCCCGTGCCCGCCCCTGCGCCCGTCCCCCCGTCCATGAGCAACAACTCCAACTCCGCCCTCCTCCTCTCCTCCTCCGCCCTCTCCCGCTCCCTCTCCTCTCTCTTCCTCTCCCTCTCCTCCGCTTTCCTCTCGTATTCGCTCTTCCCTGCCTTCCTGCCCTTCACCTCTCCTGGCTTTCCCTTGGCAGTCTTCCCCTGACCACTATCACCAGCACCGGTGAAGAAGGGGTCGGCAAAGGGGTCCTCGGTGTCGTCGTGCGCAAAGAAGGGGTCGCCCTCCTCCTGGAGCCGGCTCATGTCATACAGATCATCGTCGCCCTCCTCTTCACCACAACCCCCTGAATCCTCCTCTCCCCTCCCCCTGCCTCTCTCCCTGCTGCCTTACCCGCCTCCACCTGCCGCCTTCTCTCCTTTTTCTTCTCCTTCCGCCGTCGCTGGTACGCCTCAAACACCGTCTCGCTGGCGGCGCGCTGCTGCTCGCTGCGGCGCCGAGCGAGTTTCTCGTTGAGAGCGCTGAGGCCCGTGGCGAACGTCACCTCCATCTCTGCGTCGCCCGACGACGACTCTGACGCTCCCCCATCCGACTCCTCACCCCTGACCCCCCCTGCCTTCGCCTTCTTGCCCTTGCCCTTCCCCTGCCATCCCCAGCCAGCCCCTTCAAGAGGCTCCTCAGCTTCTCTCGTGTGCCTCCGGCTCGCCCTTTCTTCTTCTGCTCCTTCCTACTACAGTTCTCCCTTCTAACCTCCTCTTCCTCTTCCTGCTCATCCCCCTTCCCTTCCGCCTCCTCCTCCTCCTCGCCCTCCTCCCCTGACGACGACGCGAGGTAGTCCCGGAAGTCGAGCTCTGCCACCTGCAGGGTGCAGGGGGCAGGGCGCAGGGCGCAGGGTGCGGGGCGCAGGATGCAGGGCGCAGGGCACAGGGTGTAGGGTGCAGGGCGCAGGGCACAGGGTGTAGGGTGCAGGGCGCAGGCCGCAGGCCGCAGAATGCAGGGCGCAGGGCGCAGGGCCCAGGGCGCAGGGTGCACACGTGAGAGGGAGGCGATGAGAGAGAGGGGGTGGCACAGCATGTGCCGTTGCAGTGCAGTGAGCAGGAGGGCAGGAAGGAGGATAACAGGAGGGGCAAAAGGAGGAGTGCCAGGTGCTTGTGGCGATACTGAGGGAAGAAAATGAGGGGGGAGGGGGAGGGAGGGAGCAGTGAGAGCGGAGAGGGGAGGGGGTAGGGGTTAGAGGAGAAAAATGAGGGACGGCGGATGCCTGACCTGGTGGCATGGCTGACCTGGTGGCATGGCTGACCTGGTGGCATGGCTGACGTGGTGGCACGGCTGACGTGGTGGCACGGCTGACGTGGTGGCACGGCTGACGTGGTGGCACGGCTGACGTGGTGGCACGGCTGACCTGGTGGCACGGCTGACCTGGTGGCACGGCTGACCTGGTGGCATAGCTGACCTGGTCGGAGGCGAACTTGCGGCGCAGCGCTCTGATGCGGGTGGGTTCGTCCTCGTCCCAGGTGAGCTTCACGGTGCTGTGCTGCAGCACACGCGTTGAGAACACCGGCGCCTCGTAGTCCGCTGGCACCTGATGCCGAGGGCAGGTGGGTGGGTAATGGTGGGTGTGTGCGCGTGTGAGTGTTGTGCATGTATGTGAGTGAGTAATTTTGTGAGTCTGGCGAAAGGGGAGGGGGGGGGGGAAGGGGGGGGGGGGGGAGAGAATCCGGAGGGGGAGTGTGTGTCGGTGTGAGAGCGAGAGAGAGCGAGCACGCCCCATCACACCCATCACGCCCGATCCCTTCCGCACACCTCAGAGCAGGAGTCCCTGGGGTGCCTGAGGGCAAAGTCCATGGTGTCGGGGATGAAACGCAGGTCGAGCTGGTTAGCGCTGCTCTCAAACTCCATGCCGTCGCACTCCGCATACAGATGCGCCGCCGTGCCCGCGCTGTCGCACTCCACCACCGCGTAGTAGTACCTGCAAGGGGGGGAGGGGGGGGGGGGAGGGAAGGTAGGGGAGAGTGAGCACTTGAACTCCCCACTCGCGCTGGCAAGCCCTGTGCTCGGCAGAGAGTGTTATAACGAGTCTCGAAGAATAGCCGTGGGGATGAACGGAAGGACGCAGGCAGGAATGGGATGAAGAGGCTCGGAGGCAGGTGCGTGTGGGGAGCGAGGGCACGCAGGGGGGCAGGTGACCTGAGCTTGGCCTTCTCGTACTCCCTCAGCCTCTCCGCATCCACGCCCTCGCCCTCCTCGCTGCTCTCTCCCCCCTCCTCCTCCCCCTCCTCCTCACCCTCCTCCTCACCCTCCTCCCCCTTCCCCTCATCCTGCTGTCGTCCCCACACTTTCCCAGCCCTGCCCGCCTTGCCCCGGCCCCCCTTCCCCCCTTGGAAGAGCCCCTGCGGCCCGCGCTCGAGCTCCGCCTGCATCTGCTGCTGCCCGAAGTCGGAGGGGTACACCGTCACCGCTGTGATGCGCCCCCCAGGCGGCACGAAGGAGCGCAGCACCACCAGGATGTCCACCGCCTGGCCGCCGGGGAGGGGGGAGAAGAGAGGGCGGGGGAACGGGTGGGAAGGGGTGTGGGGGAGAGAAAGGAGGACGACAGGATGACAAGAGTGCGTGATGGCAGGTGCACCAAGGGATGCGGCACCAAGGGATGTGAAGTGAAGGGATGTCGAAAAAAAAAAGGAAAGAAGAGGAAAGAAGAGGAAAGAAGAGGAAAGAAGAGGAAAGAAGAGGAAAGAAGAGGAAAGACGAGGAAAGACGAGGAAAGAAGAGGAAAGAAGAGGAAAGAAGAGGAAAGAAGAGGAAAGAAGAGGAAAGAAGAGGAAAGAAGAGGAAAGAAGAGGAAAGAAGAGGAAAGAAGAGGAAAGAAGGAAAGAAGAGGAAAGAAGAGGAAAGAAGAGGAAAGAAGAGGAAAGAAGAGGAAAGAAGAGGAAAGAAGAGGAAAGAAGAGGAAAGAAGAGGAAAGAAGAGGAAAGAAGAGGAAAGAAAGAGGAAGAAGAAAGAAGAGAGGAAAAAGAGAGAAGAGGAAGAAAGGAAAGGAGGAGAAGAAGAGGAAAGAAGAGAGAAGAAGAGGAAAGAAGAGAGAAAGAAGAAGGAAAGAAGAGGAAAGAGAAGAGAAAGAAAAGAAAGAAGAAAGAAGAGAAAGGAAGGGAGAGAGAAGAAGGAGAAGGAGAAGAGGAAAGAAGAAGAGAAAAGAAGAAGGAAAGAGAGAGGAAAGAAGAGGAAGAGAAGAGGAAAGAAGAGGAAAGAAGAAAGGAAAGAAGAAGGAAAGAAGAGAAAGAGGAAGAGAGAAGGAAAGAAGAGAAAGAGAAAAGAAGAAAAGGAGGAAAGAAGAGGAAAGAAGAGAGAAAGAAGAGGAAAGAAGGAGAGAGAAAGAAGAGGAAAGAGGAAAGAGAAAAGAAGGAAAGAAGAGGAGAAGAGGAAAGAGGGAAGAGGAGAGGAAAGAGAGAGGAAAGAAGAGGAAAGAAGAGGAAAGAGGAGGAAAGAGGAGAAAGAGGAGGAAAGAGGAGGAAAGAAGAGGAAAGAAGAGGAAAGAAGAGGAAAGAAGAGGAAAGAAGAGGAAAGAAGAGGAAAGAAGAGGAAAGAAGAGGAAAGAAGAGGAAAGAAGAGGGAAAGAAGAGGAAAGAAGAGGGAAAGAAGAGGAAAGAAGAGGAAAGAAAGGAAAGGAGAGGAAAGAAGAGGAAAGAAGAGGAAAGAAGAGGAAAGAGAAGAGGAAAGAAGAGGAAAGAAGAGGAGAAGAGGAGGAAAGAAGAGGAAAGAGGAGGAAAGAGGAGGAAAGAAGAGGAAAGAAGAGGAAAGAAGAGGAAAGAAAGAGGAAAGAAGAGGAAAGAAGAGGAAAGAAGAGGAAAGAAGAGGAAAGAAGAGGAAAGAAGAGGAAAGAAGAGGGAACAAAGAGGAGACAAATAACGGGAAAGAACGCCAACAATGGAACAGCCCTGCATGCCCTCGCCCTGACCTCTTCTGCCTGCCGTCGCCCTCACCTCTCTCCTCCCACCGCCCCCTGCTCACCCTGAGGTTGTCCCAGTCCATGTTCACCACCGCCACGCGCCGCGTCGCCTCCTCCACCTCCTCCACCCGCTCCTCCTGCTAGGGTGCACGGGGACGGGGGGGGGATGTGGAGGGCGCTCAAACGTAGAGCAGGAGTGAGGGCGAGGCACGGAGGAGGATGTCGAAATTGCAACGAATGGAGCGGCCTGCGGGAGAGGCGGAGATGAGGCAGGGGCGGTGGGAGGTGAGGGAGCAGGAGGTGGAGACGGAGAGCGCGTGGAGGCGGCCAGGACACACGATGCAGGCAGTGACGAGGCCAGGGGCACCCATGGGCGAGTGGGAGATGGGCGAGTGGGAGATGGGCAGAGGAAAAAGTGCCACGACGACTGGCATGGAGGAGAAGCAACGCGAGCGCGCAGTGAGCAGGCTAGCTACCTGTTGGCCTGACTCCACGTCATCTTCACTCTCACTGTCAGAGCTTGAGGAGGAGGAGGAGGAGGAGGAGGAGGAGGAGGAGGAGGAGGAGTCTTGTGAGTCCTCCCTTTCCTCTTCTTCATCACTCCCATCCACTTCTTCCTCCTCCTCTTCTCCCTCCTCCTCTTCTCCCTCCTCTTCTTCTCCCTCCTCTTCTTCTCCCTCCTCCTCTTCTCCCTCCTCCTCTTCCAACTTCTTTCCAAATCTCGTCTCCACTTTTTTCCTCGCCCTCTTCTGCACTTTTTCTCCCTTCTCTTCCCCCTCCTCCTCACCCGCCTCCTCCTCACCCGCCTCCTCCTCATCCGTCTCCTCCTCCTCTTCCTCCGAATCCCCCTCCTCTTCTTCCTCTCCCTCCTCTCCCTGCTCCTTCTCCTCCTCCCCCTCCTCCTCCTCCCCCTCCTCCTCCACACGGTAGTACCGCTTGAGGTCCGCCCCTCGCTCGGCGTGCGTCCGCCGGCCGCGCTTGTCCACGCCGCCCTGCTCGCCGAAGTGCCGCTCGTGGAACATGCCCGCGAACCGCGGGTCCACGGCCACCCGCGTCTCCTTCAGCGGCACGCGCTGGGGGGGGGAAGGGTTCACGCAGGGGGGGGTGGGGTTGAAGGGCGGTGCGTGGACGCACGGCGTCAACGGAGTTCAGAAAGGAAGATCAGAGTAGAAAAAGGTCCTCCCGTGGCGCACCATGGGTCCACCGCCACACGCGCCTCACTGCACGGCGCTCGCTGGGGGAGATACGGGGCTGCGAGGCACGACGATTCGGGTTACAAGCAGGGTCCAAGGGTTTCGGGCTTGGGGACACCGGGGTTTACGACGGGCGGGCAGGAAGGGCAAGAGAGCTGCGCGCCGAGGGGAGACGCCTCGCCGCTGAGCAAGGTGGCGGCGAGGGGGGAGGGCTAAGTGGGGGTTGGCGGCGAGGGGGCGAATGAGCGAGAGAGGGAGAGGCGCAGTGGGGCGCGGGCGACGAGGGGCGGGGAAGCCATGAGGGGCGGTGGGCCGAATTGGCATGTGACAGAGCCACGGCACGCGGCCGGCGGAAGAAGCGGGAAGAAGCGCCACCTTTCGACCGCGGACCTCGGATGGCAAGCGGTCAACGCGGCGCCTAGCAGCGAGGGCGGCGGGGCAGCGCTCACCGCGAAGCGCGGGTCGGAGTGGAGCGCGGCGAAGCGGCTGTCGGAAATCACGGTGGGCGCCATCTGCGGCCCGTCCGACTCGCCTCGTCCGCCACCTGCGCGCGGCGCCTTCGCCCCCCGCTTCGGCGCCTTCATCGCTCCGCCGCGGGGCACCGACACTGTCGCGAGGAACCCGGCGCGATGCGGGAGCCCGCTGTGAGGGAAAACGGAAAGCGGGCGAATTCGCGGGCTGTGGCTGGCCTACGAAGTTGCTGCTGTGAACTTGCAGGGGTCTGGGTTCGAGGTTTCTGGCTTTGCAGTTCCCAGTTGGCAAAATCCCCCCAGAGGGAGTCCCGAAGCACAGAGCCGACACCAACCAAGCTTAGCTGACGTCAACTCACCCGCAAAGCTCGACGTCAAATGTGGACGTAAAACCGAGCGCAAATCCCAACTTCGGACATTCTAACTCGCACGAGTCTGCCCAAAATGAAATACGGCAGAAAGTTCACCGACCAGGCAAGCAAAAAAAATGGGAACCACCACACACTGAAAGTTACCCACGTCACAACAAAATCGTCCAATCTGTAAGGAATTAAGATTCCTTACTGGGGCTCACCACAGCGAGTACACGCAAACAACGCGCGTCCGCGGGCTCGGCCCTTGGTTATCGCGCCAAACCAGCCCCCGTCGACCTTTTTGGCCCCAACCTGATCCCGAGTCGCCCCGAACCCATTACGACCCCGTCACCCTCGGACTATCGAGCCCTTGACTGGTCCAACCCTCAGACATTCAACATGGTCAACTCGCACTATATAAGCCCTAGGTCTCATTTGGATAGGACACATTGTAATCACGTTCCCCTATAGTATTTTGCGCTATACTTTGAGTTATAATTCATAACAGCTGGTATCAGAGCTACGTTCCTGCCCATTAGGCTTCTGGTAGGGGAGCAGACCCTATCGGGGAAGGGGGCGGAAGGATGCTGATGGCGAGCGGACGTCGCGGAAATTAATTGCGCAGGCGTTGCCGATGCCGTCAGATCCTGTCGGATGGACGGCTGGGATTGGCCGGTCCTCCCCTTCCCTGATCGTAGACGAAATTATTTCCCGTCAAAGAGTGGACGACGTTTTCGCAGTGTTTTTCGAATATGTTGGTTAGAGGGAGAGTATGTCAGCGCTCAGTATAAGGGGCCTCGATAACATGTACGATCAGTGGCACGGTAGAAACAGTCAGAATTAGGGAGTTCGCAATATGATTCATCAATCAGGTTCCACCATTAGTCAGAAACTGTATGAAAAAAGTTCCACGAATAGTCAGTAGAAGTAACCTCCGCCCATCTCGGAACGTTTTCCCGCCCGCGCCAGCCCAATTTTGTCATCATTGTGGTTGGCGCGATATTTTTCCCGAGCTCGATGTACAGTTCGAGTGAAAACACTTAAAATGCCCAAATTTAAATTCATTTGATATTTGTTAGTCGAGAAACACGGAAACACGATTTTTTTTTCGAAGCGCATACTTTCGTCACAAAGGGTAGCGCGTCCCCCGATGATAAAAAATGACGGCTTTGTCTCTACCGCATTTACGGCTCCAAAAAAAAGTCAATCCAGAAACTAGTCATTCCACAGTCGCCCGAAAACAATAGCATGTATAGATAGCTACATAGGAAACGAATATGTTTTAAAGTGCGTCAAGGTACTCTCAAAACCGCTTTTAATTTTGTATTAATTTTAATCAACAAATCCATTTGAAGTTTGTCGGTTGTCTTCTGAAATTTTTATTTCAACAAATGTATTCACCACAAAAAAAAAATCCGCCAGATGACGACTCTACAGATCTTGTCATGCTCAAAACAAATTAGCGTGCGCGCACTACGGTAAAATATTCACGCCTCATTGGCTTAGCGTCGATCCCGCACATATTTGCCCTTTCGTGTCAAATGTTTTCGTTTTTTGTGCGTTTGTGCAGCCCGCTGTGGCCCAATTAGCTTATGTGACATAAATGCGCAAGGTCTCAATTTTGTAATTTTGTTTGTGCGATGTCCAACGATTTTTAATTTGGGAATACTTTACATCTGCAGTTTAGGAAAAATATCGCGCCAGCCGCAATGATGACGAAATTGGGTTGGCGCTAGCGGGAAAACGTTCAAAGACGAGCGGGGGTTACTTCTACTGACCATTTGTGGGACTTTTTTCCTGCTGTTTCCAACTAACGGTGGAACCTGAGTGATGAGACATGTTGCGAACTCGCTAATTCTGATTGTTTATATTGTGTCACTGACCATACATGTTATCGAGGCCCCTAATACTGAGCGCCGATATACTTTCCCTTCGTTAGAGCTTTCGTAATTTTCGGGTGTTCAGACGGAGTCTTCGGATTGGCTTTCGAAAAAAGCGAAGCCTGCGTTAGGAAAACACAAGTGCACAGCAGTCATCAGGCGGCCGGGAGTTGGTCGTCAGGAGCGCGCAGGGTGGCGAAAATGGCGGGATGTACGGCGATGTACGTCTGGCACGCCATGCAACGGCAGGGTGAACTGTAGCTGTGTCGCTGGTCCCGGCGTTTCTGGCAGGCTATGGACGGGACTTCAAAACTGTTTCGGCAATGGGCGCATCCGACAATTTCGGAATGACACGATCGCACGAAGATGTGTGGGTGTGCATTTGTATGGGAGCAGCTGAGATTAACGACCTCGGCGCCATTCACCACGACGGCCATCTGGAGGAGTTGACGCTGTGCTGGAGTGAGTGTACTCAGCGAGGGCGACTTCCCGCGTGGGGAGGCATTTTTCGTGGACCAGCGATTCATACCCCCACGATCAACGGAAACGGAGGCCACCACCCTTGGGTGTGTATTAAGTGTTTTTCCACCGGTCGCCGAATGCGTTAGCTGTAAGGAGTTGAAGCAGTAGGAGAAGAACGACGGGAGTACTGGAGCAAATGGGTTAGCGGTGTTCGGGCTGCTACTCGCTAAGCTACGTCGCCCCGAAATCACCATTCCCACCAGGTAGCAGCGTCGATTTACAAATCGACAGCTTCTGGCTGAATAAGGGGGTGAACATGCGAACTACACTGTGCTGATGGAGTGTCCCCAAAAATTTAGGAGTTACTGTTGAAGTAGAGCTAAGAGTTTTCACCTGGTGCAGCAGATGGAGGTTCCGACTTTTGCGGGTGTAGTTTGACGAGTTTCCGACGGAGGAGGGAGATGTCCAACGATCAGTAGGCGAGCTCGTTAAAGCTCCTCTGACTAGAAGCTTGTGCACTCCTATCTCTGCGGATTCTCCTAGTTAGTTAAGCAGCAGCGAAACGGTTTTGGGTAACCTACAGCAGCCGCGAGATGGGTAACGTCTGCACAGCCAGCTGGACAGGGGTAACGGAGTATTTTAGAGTTGGGTAACAACTGGGCAGAGATCAACGGCATATGATGTGGCTTGACCCTGATCGACGGCTAAAACATCATGCCGAGGCGGTGGACTCCGGTAAACCCTAAGATAAAGGGTTCAGTTCATGCGTACACCTGGTAGAGAAATCGTAGGGGCGCTGCTAAAGGACGCCGTGACGCCTGGGCATTTTTACGGTCATAAGTGAAGCGGAGTTACGGTATTTACTAAGTATCGAGTGGTTCCGACATTTTCGGTGAGTTTGTGCAGCAGTTCGAGCGTTTACAGCTGGAGTTGTGCCCGCTATCCTCAAGGGTACGAGCAACATCGACCGATATTCTCGGAATATTTTGGGTGCATGAAGGAGGAGAAGCGCAGCAGTAGTTTCGGCTCTTCTCGAAATTTTTGGCGTGTACGGACAAAGAAGCTGATGTAGCTGGCGTCATTCGACCCTGGGTTTTGTTCGAGGGTTTTCCCTGGAGCAGGATTCGTATCGGTTAATCTCCATCGCCATCGTCGTCAGCCTCTCGACATCACCCGCTACCGCCTCCATCGTCAATTCGCCTGATTCGCAAGATAGTGTGAACACGACCCCGCCTCGCCATTAGAATCTACAGCGGCCGTATCAAAACAAGGAGATTTTGCAGCAGTACTGTGGAGCTATGTTGGGGCCAGCCCGCAAGTAGTGTTCTTGACCTTTGAAGAAATTTAAAGTTCGTGTGGGAGTCTTCTGGAGCAGTAGTTGCGGAATTTCACGACCATTGGAGCAGTTTACCCTAAGGCGGCATTTCAAGTTTGGAGCATCTTTGGGAACTATAGCGGTTGGAGTTTTGCAGCGGCATCTTCGAAGCTGAGTTATGGGATTTTCAGCAACAGTGTGGGATTTTTTTTGTCTACCTTGGAGCATTGGGGTTTCCTGGATTTCTACCTGGGAAATTGGGAATTGTTTTCTCTTGAAAGGTGGGAGAAGTGCAGCTGCGCTGCAATTTTCCGACGACCTTTTCGGCTTGTTCCATTCACCTTTTTTCGATCGACATTCGTCATCGTTATGCTTCCGCACCTGATTTCGTCAATTCGTTGATGGAGTTCGCTTACTTTCGTGGGACACGGACGCGTGCTCTCGCATGTGACACGAGCGACTTCGCGTTTGATGAACGGGTTCTTCATTTCATCGACCATCACGTTATTAGCCCGTCATCATTTCAATCAATCCTGCTGCCATGCGCCATCATCAATCCACCACTCGACGGTTTCACTGTTAATTGTCTTCCACTGGAGTATTTACCCTTGCCCGTTTGGTCACCAGAAGAATTCGACCATCTTCGACGATTGAGATTAAAAGCGATCGTTTCGACGCTTTCTGACCATCGATTTCAGTTCAACGTCAAGACCTCGTCAGGCCGGCATAATCATTACGCTTGTCACAGGGCTGAAGACTTACAATCACTTCGGGGATTAACTTAGATAAAAGGTTCGACCTCGATAAAGGGAGTGCCTTCCTTTAGAAGGTGGGAGAGTGTAAGGAATTACGATTCCTTACTGGGGCTCGCCACAACGAGTACACGCGAACAGTGCGCGTCCGCAGGCTCGGCCCTTGGTTATCGCACCAAACCAGCCCCCGTCGACCGTTTCGGCCCCAACCTGATCCCGAGTCGCCCCGAACCCATTTTGACCCCGTCACCCTCGGACTATCGAGCCCTTGACTGGTCCAACCCTCGACATCCAACCTGGTCAACTCGCACTATATAAGCCCTAGGTCTCATTTGGATAGGACACATTGTGATCACGTTCCCCTATAGTATTTTGCGCTATACTCTGAGTTATAATTCATAACACAATCCCTTCACAACGACCAGCAGGAGACTCGCGAATTCGTCTTCGTTAGTTCGGTGGGTGTCCTACGGGTTCTGTGGTATCATTTCAGGGCTGCCCGTTAAGTTGTTGAAACAACAGTGTGACGTCAAGTTCGACTAATGGGTTTCAGGAGCCCCACTTCGGCCATCCCGGAAATCGGAACTGTAGCGAGTACAGTGGTGGTAACCCTCTTTCAACATCTGTGTTATGAATAAAAATTGAGAGTGCGCGGAATAATAATGACGAGTACAAGAATGGGAGCCTAGCCTTATATAGCGAGAATTCTAGCCAGGCGACGAGACCGGAAGGCTAGGTTGGGCACAGGCGCGGTCGAAAGGGCCAGAGCGAGCCAGCCTCGGGGCCGCGTCGGAAACGGACCGAGCCTGGTCTTCTGAGAGTTTGGGTTTACGCGATTGTAGTACAACCCGGTAAGGAATAAAATTCCTTGCACTACCCCCTCTCCTAAGGAAGGTGGTCAATATCGGGAACGCCTTTTCGGGTCAAATAAGATTTGAGCACCGAGTGTTCCGGAAGCGAGTAAGAAGTGACCCACGTGTCGTCTTCGCTTGTACGGTCGGCCCAGCGGACAAGAAAATCCACGTGGCGGCTTGTTGTGTCGAGGTGGACGCGATGACTCTAAGGCTTGAACGGCTCAAGGGTCGGTTCGGCCATCGGGCGGACAGTCGGGACGGCCGTCAGGCGGGCGAGTGCGGACGTGTTGGGAATGTAGGGACGAAGGAGGCTGACGTGGAAGGCGTCGTGAATGCGCCACTCGTCCGGTAGTAATAATTTTGCCGTGACAGGTGTCACCATCTTGAGGATGCGGAAAGGCCCACCGAATCTTGGGCGGAGTTTGGATGGCAGGGGCAGGCGGAGGTTCTTCGTGTCAAGAAGGACTAGTTGCCCAACGGTCATCGTAATATTTCGGCGATGAAGGTTGGCGTAGCGTTGAGCCGTAGTGTTGGACTTCCGAAAAAGAATCTATCGTTTTTTCCCGGGCGGTCTGGAGGTCGTTAACGAATTGCTGGGACTAGGGCACTGGGTTATCGATGTTGGTCGTCGTGGGAACGGTGGGATCCATTCCGTAGTTGAGGAAGATTAGTGAGTGATTAGTTGTTGCAGATGGGGCGTTGTTGTAGGAAAAATCCAGCATGGGCAGGAATTCTTCCCATCGGGTGGGGTCGGGGCAGTTGGTGCGTATCAGCTGCTCCATGGTCTGATTGGTTCGCTCTGTGTGCCCGTTGGTTTGTGGGTGGTAGGCAGATGAGAATTGCATGCGGGTGCCGTATTGTTCCCATGTCTCTTGCCAGAACTTGGACGTATATTTGGGATCGCGGTCGCTGATGATCGCCGATAGGAGGCCATGCAAACGAACAACGGTGGAGATGAAGAGTTTGGCGGTTTCTTCGGCTAAGATGGTCGTGCAAGAGGGTGCGAAATGTGCCGTTTTCGTCAAGCGATCGACGACGACGAGGACGGCGTCATTGCCACTTGCGCCGGCCGGAAGTCCTGTGACGAAGTCCATCGTCACGTGTTGCCATGGCTTCTGGGGTGGCTCGAGCGGTTGCAGCAGTCTAGCTGGCCGCTGTCGAGAGGACTTCATTCGCTGGCCGGTCAGGCACGCCGATACGTATCTCTGCACATCAGACGCTGAATCTGACAGATAATGAAAATGGTAAAGTAATTTCTGGGTTTTGTCAACCCCGAAATGACCGGAGAAGTTAGAGTCATGGACTTCCTGAATCAGTAAATTCGCAAAGGAGACGGTAAGCGGGAACCCAGATACAGTCAGTGTCGGCTTTTAGGAAATAAATTCTCTTAGCCGTGGTGGCTTGTTGGTGGAGGTTGCGGGTGAAAAGGGGTCGGTGCTGTAGCCGTGGGTAAATAGTCCGGTGAGCAGTGGGTTGTGCAATGATGATGGAGGCGAGATGGGCGGACGGTCGTGTCAGTGCGTCGATGATGTTATTCGCCCCACATTTGTACGTAATGGTGTAGTAGAAGTTGATCTCGAGGAAATTCAGCCAGCGAATCTGTTGTGGGTTGAGGTTCGGCTGTGCGCAGAGGTACTGTAGGGATTTGTGGTCTGTCCATACTGTCACGTCGGCTCCCGTCATGTAGCAGCGCCACACTTTGAACGCGTGTACGATTGCGAGCATTTCTTTGTCGTGGATGGGATAGTTGCGCTCGGCTGCCTGCAACTTCCTGGACTCGTACGCGATTGGTTGAAGGCCGTCGTCAAAATCATGTAACCGTACCGTGCCGATGGCAAAATCGCTAGCGTCCGTCAAGACTTCGAACGGTCGAAATGGGTTAGCGATTCAGAGGACTGGGGGTGACATCAGAAAAAATCTGAGTTCGTCAAAAGCAGCTTGCTGTCTCTCCCCCCACTCAAAAGAATTTCCCTTCCGCAGTAGGTCAGTTAAAGGTCCGGTTGTCCCTGCCATATTGGGGATAAATCGCCGGACGTAATTAACGAACTCGAGAAAACTTTGCAGCTCTTGTAAATTCGTGGGCGGCTTCCAGTCGTGGATAGTGGTGATCTTCGTTGGGTCGATTTTGATGCCCTCCGCTCCAACGACGTGTCCCAAAAATTTCAGTTCGGATTTTAGGAACTCGCACTTAGAGCCCTTGGTGATGAGTCGCCCCTGCTGCAGTCGTTGAAAAAACCGGTTGAGGTCCTGGAGGTGCTGTTCCTGTGTTTTGCTGAAGACCAAGATGTCATCGAGATAGACGATGACACACTTGTCGACTAAATCTCTGAACACGTCGTTCATAGTCAGTTGGAATGTAGAGAGCGCATTTGTAAGGCCAAAAGGCATCACCGTGTACTCGTAGCTGTCGTAGCAGGTTCGGAACGCTGTCTTGTGGCAGTCGTCAACGAAAGTGTCGGTAAAGGTATCTAGGGAAGGTGTCGGTGAAGCTTGATGGGCGACGCAGGTAGACCTGCTCATGAAGACTGCCCTGAAGAAAAGCATGTAGTCATGCTGTGCTGCTACATGTAGCAGCGCCCGAAGAGTGGTCATCTTCAGGGTCGGGGCGAAGGTCTAGAAGAAGTCAACACCCTCGCGCTGACTGAAGCCTCTAGCAACGTAGCGCGCCTTGAACACCGGCGGCTCTCCAGGAGGGAGCTTCTCCTTGAAGATCCACCGGCCATCGACTACGTTCACCCCAGGTGGGGGAACTACGTCGACGTAGGTGTCGGCGGATCTCCAAGATGCCATCTCCGCGTCCATGGCAGCTATCCACTTAGAGGCCCAGGGTCACGAGGTCGCCTCAGCCTAAGTGCGAGGGACTAGCGGCATGGAGTAGAGATGAGGTGTGGCCTCGGACAGGAAAGCAAGCTCGTACTGCCGGTCCTCCACGACGTCACTGCCAAGGGCAGCAGCACCCCCGACGGATGGAGGAGGGGCAGGGTCAGAGACCCGAGCAGTACCGTAGTCAAGGCGGTGAGTAGAGGCAAATTCAATGACAGCAGCGACAAGAGCGTCAAGACTGGAGACAGGAACAGATGGGTCGGTAACAAGAGAGGCGGGGGGCTGAGGAACAAGAGGACTAGCAGCACGGAGGATGTCATACAGGGGAGGCGGAGCGACAACCAGCGAGGACGGAGGAGGCGACATAAGGAGGGATCGATGAGACGCGTGGGAACGAAGCAACATAGGGTGAGCGCAATGGATAGGAGAGACAGGACGAGCACGAGAGGGACGGCGACACCAGAAGTGGGACGAAAGCATGGGGTCAGGAGACAGGAGGAGATAAAGGAGGAGAACGCGGGGGGAAACGAACCGGAGACGAGTCCGGCGGAGGAAACACAAGACCGTAGACAGGCGAGGGAGGCCCAAGTGGGCGGTCAGGGGAGGGAAGACCAAGGAGGCGAAGGGCAGACACCAGCGGCGACTGCTGCTGCTGCTGCTCTACACCGACACCAGAACCTCCAGCTGCACCATGGCTACCTCCGAGACACTCCTCAATAGCACCCCTAGAACGAGAACCTTCTCCAGCACCGGTGCCACCCCTAGGACTGCCGGGACAAGCCACAACAGTACCCCCAGGACTGGCACCCCCAGAGCTAGCACCCCTAGACGAAAACACTCTCCAGCACCGGTACCACCCCCAAGACCGCCGGGATAAGCCACGATAGTACCCCCAATACTAGAACCCTCCTCAACACCCGCACCCCCAGAGCTCGCGGACCCCTGCGGTGGCTGCTGCTGCGGTGGCGGCAACGGCAACTGCGACTGCAGCGGCGACGGCGGCGACTGCTGCTGCGGCGGGGGCGGCAAGGGCGGCTGTTGCGGCGGAGGAGGAGGAGACACCGGGGTGGAGACAGGTGGCGACTCCGAAGTCGCAGGGCCCCCGGAGTCAGCCGACTCCTCCGCTGGGATAACCGACGGGAGTGGAGTGACGCGAGACACACCAAACGGGGCAAGACATGGAGGAAGAGGAGCAAGGGCTACCGGGGTCGTGGGGACCAGGAACTGGGGCAGGGAGACCAAAGACAAGCCCTTCATGGGACATGTGACGCAGACGTGGGAATGCGGGGTGACCTAGGCGGTAGTGCCACAGCAGAGAAGGGTGGGTGAACGACCGACACGAGCAGGCTGAAGCTAGCTGGGAGGATGCGGCAGCTTGGGGGGACGCTCCAAACGGGGGGGGGCGCAATGTCTAGCGTGAACAGGCCAAACACGGGGTCCCGGAGGAACGTGGTGAGAGGGGCACCAGTGGTGGCCTCGGTACAGACTGCGTATTGCTCGTGTCCAGGGAACATTGTGGTGACACCGAGGTCCTGAAGACAGCCGACACCAACTAGGTTCCTGGAGAACGAGGGGATGTGCAAGCCTGTAAGAGAGCCTGAGGGAACCGCCGGGCAGGGAAGGGTAGTGGAGCTATGGGCAACTACCGGACCTGTAGAGGGGTCAGCAAGCGCTACAGCGGCAGGGGCGGCAAGCGGCGTGAGCGAAGTGTGGTCGCAAAAGAAGCAGGCAGACGCACCAGAGTCTAGCTTGAACGAGAGCGCGGCGGTAGCGGCCGCAGGCGAAGGAGCTAGCGTGGAGCCGAGGCTAAACAATGCAGGTGGTCCTAAGCCTGACGCAGAAGGAGAAACTAAACTACACTCAGTGGACACACCTATACTAGCCAACATCGGGTAATAGGGTCCAGTCGCACTACAGTCATCAGCATACATGACATACAGACTCAAAGACAGGCACACTGCGATGCGCTAGGGCATACTAATCCAAAGGTCTGACGTGGGACCAAAGCAGAGACGGAAGAGGTCATCGAGGCGGCGATAACAGCGGGCGGCAGTGTGACCGGGATGGTCGAAGACGGTGCCGAGGCGGGGGCCGGTCTGAAGCTGGTATTGGCAGGTGACAACACTAGAGCTGCCACCTGACACCGAGCTGCGCGGCGCACCACCACGACCACCACCATTAGCGCTACCAGGCCACCATAGCTGCGGTGGTCCCTACGGCGGCTGCTAATGCTGCGACTGCTGCTGCTGAGGCTGCTGCTACTGCTACTGAGGTTGCTGCTGCTACTACTGCTCCAAGGCACCAGCCCCGGTCCCCTCGTCTGCACCACCGTCCCCACCCCCACCTCCACCACCCCCACCACCCTTCCCTCCGCCATGCCCCCCCTTGGGGCGGCGGCCCTTACTCGGACGCTGCTGCGCTGAGGCCGCAGCGGCGGTCTCGGCAACAAGGGCTGTCTCGGCGACATCGGCAGAAACGTCAGAGTAAGTGCACTGGGAGGGAGCACAGCCCTGGAAGCTAGGGACTGGCGCAGTACCGCTAAACTGGGCGATAGTGCGCTGGGGGGTCTGTATCGCGGACAAGGCGGCGGCTGGCGGCTATGAGCATCTGGCGGTGACAGGCGGGCAACTACAGGCAGGCCAGCGGCAACGGGCGGGCTGGCGGCAATGGGTGGCCAGCGGGGATGGGAGGCCAGCGGCTACTGGCGGCTGGCGGCTACAGGCAGCCAGCGACTACGAGCGGCTGGCGGCAGCAGGCGGCCAGCGGCGATGGGCGGCTGGCGGCAACGGGCGGCTGGTGGCTACGGGCGGCCAGCAGCTACACGCGGATGGTGGCAACGGGCGGTCAGCGGCTACTAGCGGCTGGCGGCTACGGGCGGCCAGCAGCTATGGGCGGTTGGCGGCAGAGGGTGGGCTGTCGGCAACGGGCGGCCAGCGGGGACAGGCGGGCTGGCGGCGACGGGCGGCCAGCGGGCTACAGGTAGCTGGCGGCAACGAGCGGCAGCGACGTGCGGTGGGCAGCTGGTGGCTAAGGCCGGCCAGCGGGTTGGCGGCTACGGGCTGCTGGCGGCTACAGGTGGCCAGCGGCGACAGGCGGCCAACGATTACGGGCGGCGAGAGGTGGCCAGCGGGCTACGGGCAGCTGGCAGCGACGGGCGGCGAGCAGCTGGCAGCTAAGGGCGGCCAGCAGGCTGGTGGCTACGGGTGGCTAGCAGCTACGCGCGGTCAGCGGCGACAGGCGACCAGCGGGCTGCGATCGACGGGCAGCAGGCAGCCGGCGGCTACGGGCGGCGGGCGGCTAGCGACGGGCGGCTAGGAACGGGCGGCTAGCGACAAGCGGCTTGGGCTAGGGCTAGGACGAGGGCGGAAGCGCGGGTGGGCGGGATCCTAACCTAGCGTGATACCATCTCAGAGTAAAAAGTTTAGTAGAATAATGGGGTACATAGGAATATATTCTAAGGTATTGTACTCTATATGAGCTTGCACCTATCTAGCCTGTAACATATACAAAATATATGTTGACAACTTCTGCAGCTCAAGATCAATTTCGCGCGCTCTTGACAAAACAGTCTTCTCACCTGGTGATTTTCGCGAGCCCGTCGCCTCGTAGCGAGCTCCTCGCTATTTTCGTTGTCGAATCGATGAACCTTGTTGCCACGCTCGAAAATGTCTTCGCCGCGAGTCGATGACGTCAGCTGCCATACATGATGCAACCGAGGTTGAACAATGACGAAATCCAAAAGCCCACATGACAACAAAATCTGGGGTTATTTTACGCGCATTGACAAAATCACCGGTCCGTGCTCGAGGGTGTGTGAGGGGGCTGATTGGGCCTTAACCAAAATCACCACGCCATGTGTGTTGGAAGGCGTGTGAGGGCACTGATTGGCCCTCCACCAAATCTGGAGTCGAGCAAGATGGGTTGTTTACTGTGTGAGGGCGTCGTGACTCGTGGGCCCTTCACCAGATTTACACAACATGTGTTCGCGGGGATGTTTGTGAGGGCAAGATTCCCCTTCTGCATCGTGGGCCCTTCACCAGGTTTGCGGGAAACCCCACCCGTCGCTACCAAGCATCGCTCCATGTTTCGCGGCATCTCTAGCGTGCTACGGCCCACCCGAGCGTTGCATACCTCCACTGACGCTGCCGTTACAGCCTCCAACAGTACCGAGAGACCTAGTAGCCGGAGCTCTGGTAATGGGGGCCGCTCGTTAAAGTCGAAGATTTCCCCCGTCGGAGCGCAGCACGGTGAGGGACGCCCTGCAGAGAGCGCAACGTGCCGCAGCCCCCACAACAGCCAATGGTTCTACGTCAGAACGTGATAATCGGTCGTCAGACCGGGAAACGCGGGAAGAGGTTAGGTCTCCTAGCTAGGAATGCGAGGAGAGACGCGGACGGAGGAGTGCAGTAGCAGGGGCGAGGAGTTTACCTCTCGTTTTCGCAAATAATGGCGAAGCGAGAGGACGGTTGGGGAGGAGGGCCGCGAGGGCTGCAATCGACAGCTGGAAATCGCATCAGCGCGCAGTCGCAACAGCAGGAACGGTTGAGATCGCGGCAAGGGCAGCAGCCATTTGAGCTGCCACGAAAACAGGGGCCGGCCGACCAGCAGCAGCACCCACCGCAGCATCCGCCGCTGCAGCAGCAAGTGCAGCTGGAAGATTGCCATTTTCTCCCCACATGCGCATTTCGCTGTTTTTTTTCCGCCACTTTGCTGCAGAGAGTTACTTAGAAATCCCCTCTGAACTGTCAGTGTAAATGTTGTAGAGAGAAAAAAACCCTGGAAAATCAGAGAAAACATCGGGGGTCACTCTGATTTTTAGAGTAATGAAAAAACCACTCCCAAATTTCAGAGTAGTAAAAATCCAAAAGTAGGCCCTGGATAGCAGTGCTCCTCAGTAAGGAATTACTAATTCCTTACAACCAGTGTCTCATACACTTGTTAAGTGCTTTGTTACACGTTATCGAACCAGAATGCACACAGCGCGAATTCCCATGTCGTGTGTGACAGATCCTGGATCCGCTTGTGTGCAGGGCCGCAACAATCCCTACCACCAGATCCATGTCCGCTCTCCTCTCACCTAGTCCCAGCAGGTAGGTGCTTTCCGGAAGGCGCTGGTCGCTGCGCGCCGATGGCCGACGACCACCCCGCGCAAGCTGCTGCCGCGGTCGCGTGCGGACGGGACGGACGCGGCGGGGATAGCGGAGGGCGGGGAAGGGGCGAGCACGCGGCGCGCGGGGGGCGAAGGGGAGGAGGGAGGATAGCGAGGGGGAGAGGCAAGGGAAGGGGCGGAGGCGAGGCGTGGCGAGGGACGAACGGTGCGACGGACGAGGAGAGGTGAGCGACGGAGACGCGATGGCGTGACGGCAAGAGAATGATGATGATGCTGATGTGGCGGTGGTGTCAGTGGTCACGTGGGACCAAGTGACGCTGGCATGCGGCAGCAAGTGCGGGTGTGGGTTTAACCACGCGGGGCGATGCATGCCCAATCTCACCTCGCGCGTGCGCCGCATCGCCTAGTTGTCCTCCGCCGTCAGCCTCTTCCCTCCGCTCACACCCTCCGCCCTCCCCACCTTCCTCCGCTCACACCCGCCGCCCTCCCACCTTCCCCCGCTCACTCCTTTCGCCCCCGCTCGCCCTTTCGCCCCATGCCCGCTCTTCTTCTCCCTCACTCTGCCCGTCGATCCCCTCCCCTCCCCCCAGCGTGGCGGCGTGGGCGTGCGCGCGGCTGGGCGAGCCGAAGCGGGCGCTGATGAGGCGAGCGGTGCACGCAGTGGGGGGCGACGCCGTTGCGCAGATGCTGGTGGAGGTAAGGGGGGCGGGGGGGGAGGGGAGGGGGGAGGGCAGGGGAAGAGGAGGTGAGGGCGCGGGAGATGGGGTTTGGGGGACGGCAGAGGGGATGGGTGGAGGAGAGGAGATGAGGAGAGGGGGTGCGGTGTGAGGGAGAGGGAGTGAGGTGTGAGGGATAGGGGAGAGGGCCAGGGATGGTGCTGGAATGGCTTGGTGGGTGGCGGTATGGATGGCACGTTATGCCATGGGTGCACTGTGGGATGGATGGCATGGGACGCTACGGTGGAAGGCGTTGCTGCTCGTGGCGGTCGGAATGCAGTGGATGCCCGTAGTGGAGGGACCCAACCCCAAACCCCAAACCTCGAACCTGTGTCCAAATTCCGGGTCATAATTTGTTTTGCTCCCATTCCTCCGTTTCCTCCTCCTCGCCCCGCCAGGTGGACGCGGTGCAGCGCTGTGGAGGGCAGCTCACGGCGGATGGCAAGAGGCGCCGCACTCCGGGCGGCGTGTTCTGGAACGTTTTGAGGGCGAGAGTCAGTGCTGACGTGTACATCGAAATCATGGCGCAGGAGAGAGACGTGCAGGTATGGGCAGAGAGAGACGTGCAGTTGGGAGAAGAGGGAGCCAAGGACCCGCCTGCCTCTCCACATGTGTGCCTCCCGTCGTCTCCACCTCGCTTCACCTTGTGTGTCGCCATGCCATTGCCTGCGTACCTCTGTGCGTGCCCTGCGGCGCCATTGCCCTCTTTCCCACCGGTGCGTGCAGAAGCGGCGGGACAGAGGGCAGGCGCGCAAGAAGAGGAGGAAGCAGCAGCAGCAGCAGGGGAAGGGCGTGAGTGGGTCCGGATGTCTTGCCTCCTGTAGTGCTGCCAGTGCCAATAAGGAAGGCAGTGCGTTGGACGAGCCGTGGTGTGATGCCAGCCATGGCAGTGATGGCAGCGATGGCATGAGCCTCTCGGTGGACGGCTTGAGTGATGCTGACCATGATGCTCTTGATGATGCTCATGCTGCCACTGATGCTGCTGATGTGGCGCAGGATGCGTGGACTGGGCGGCATGCAAGAAATGGCATGTCTGCCCATGTGGATGGCAGGCTGCAGGTGGGGCACGGCGTGAGGGTGCGTGGAGGGGACATGGTGGATGGCATGGCGGCGGTCAGATCGGGGCAGGGGGTGGGCAGAGAGACGGGAAGGGGGGTGGGCAGAGGGAGCAGAAGAGGTGGAGGCGATGGAAGGGGAGGAGGAGAGGCAGGAGGGGGTGGGGATGCGGAGGAGAGCGGTGAAGAAGGGGAGATGGACGGAGGACAGTGCGGCAGAGGCGAGGCAGGAGTAGGTGGTGTGGGCGAGGGGGCGAGTGGCAGTGGGGGGAGGGTGGCGGACAAGGGGAGGAGAGCGGCAGGTTGAGAGGCAGGGAGGGGGGCGAGGGGTGGTGGAGGAGGCGGGGCAGCGGGGTGAGGGCAAGGGGACGGGCGGGCATGTGGATGTGGAGGAGAGGGTGCGGCTGGACGTGGCAGTGGCGTCGGGCGCTGTGAAGCAGGTGCACCACGCATGGCGCTGCGCTGTCATGGCAGGCGGGGGCGCAGGGGGAGAGGACGGGTGGGGGGAGGGGGAGCAGGGAGAGGAGGGCGAGTGGCGAGCAGGCGATGCGGCAGTGGGGCTGGGCGCGCCTGCTGGAGCCGCTGCTCTGGCGGTGGGTGGTGAGGGGGAGGGTGTGCGTGGCGGTGAGGAGAGGAAGGGTGGGGATGGCATGGAGGTGGATGGTGAGTGTGAGGAGCAGCAGCAGGGGGGCGGGGGAGAGGTGCTGGCAGTGGAACGGCATGGTACACATGCTGCTGCCAGCAGCATTGCGGGTGAGGGGGCCGCAGTTTCGACCCCTCTGCCATGCGATGCCTCTGAGAGCACTGCAGATAGACATGGCAGTGCGGGAGGTGAGTTCGAGGCAGCAGCAGCTGTGGAAGCAGTGCACAGGGCAGGGGAGGGCGGGCAGAGGGTGCCTGTGAAGCAGCGCCTGCGCATGCCAGTCACATATGATGACGTGCCTCTTGTGGCTGAGGGAGCAGTAGAAGCTGCCACGGTTTGAAGGATGGCTGGTTGGTTCCATGGAAGCTTCGTGTAGTAGAGTCGGTTGGTACGCTGCTGAAACTGGCAGAATCGTCTCCAAGCAGTGTAAAACCTTGAACTGTTCGATTTCAACATCCATCGAAAGAAGCAATTATGGTGGCTTTTGTGTAGTATAAATATGTTACTGGATCAGCTCTCAACTAGAGCTGAAACATAGAATGGACCACCAATGAAGTGATATCATGATAATTATGTGCAGAAAATTCCCCCCACAACGGTAGGCTCTAATGCCCAATTAGTCGCTTTGTATAGTTTTGTGATCATAACTTGGTCATATAAATAGCTCAATATATATATAATTTTATGTATATTTTAGAGTGTTGAAGTTCATACCTTTCGAACAGGCTTCGTTAGTGGTGCTCCAAGACCAGAACGACGTGCTATCCAAGAACGAGATCTCGAAGCCGCTTGGAGCGACTCCAAACAGCACGATGTCTGTACATTTTATGCACATTTTCCGCGCCTCACGGTTTGGATGTTCTAGCTAGCAATAGAACCCTAAGAGCGTATTTTTGGGTCACGAATCGTTCTAAAACGCGAAGTACACCATTTCTCCTCTACTGTCCCACCCTGAACAGTCCAAATTGTAATCCCACCTGTCAAGTTCTCAGCATGACTCGCATTGACGCTGAACCTGATTGGCTGGAGTCTGAGCGATAGCGAATTGATAAGTCGTATTTCGATAATTGCGAGAATCCAAAGCTTGGAGGGTCGCGCAGGCAAACTATATAGTGCATGAGCGAGAATTTGTAACCAAGTGAGAATTCGTAATTACATATCATATGCGATTGGTGCAACGATGGCAAGCGCAAACTTTTTGCAGGTGCAATTATTATGTAGGTGCAACACCCACGTATGCAACCCGACCAATGGAAACAAGTGTAGACATCATGTGAAAAAATTGTCGCCATCAATATAAATCGTATAATCCACGCTCATGCGCTCCTGAATAGTCAACGCCACATTCTAATCGCAATGTGTCATAAATACCAAGAAATCTTTTTGTTGCGATCCATCCATTTACTGGCTGACGCGGAAACACCACGCTAGCCAATAACCGCACGCCATCTACGTTGACGGAATCATATGAAGTTCGGCCACGTACTCTTCCTTGTCAACGTGTGCTGTAATTTATAAGTGGTGGTGTTTTTAATTGTCGTTTCACATTGTTATGTGGTATTTTCCAACCTAAAATAGTTTCGAATATGTCTATAGTCGACTCAATTGATAATCTTGAGTCAAACCTTGTTTTGTTCTTGTGGTAATGCATTAATTAGCGTGCGTATATGAAACCTAAAGTGGACACCAAGGCTTATGTTTGTTTTTTTCGGGCACCTGTCAGTTCCAGGTATCTTGCCAAAGCTACATGTTAGAATCCGTATTGAGTACTATATTTTGTAAAAAAAAACCCATCAAATCCGGGTTTCACAGCTAGTTCTGCCAAAAGTCGCCCGTCGGAATCTGGCTTCCATGTTTTTGTAAAAGAAAGCCGTGGGAATCCGAATTCTGCAAATACCTCACCAGTTATTTTGCTGAAATCCGGGTAGTTCCCCATAAAAAATACGCCTTGGTGGACACGCCATGCGAACACCTCGCGATATGCCTACGTGGACCTCGTCGCATCTAATGACAGCGTCCCCGCCTATGACAGCTATGCATACGACATCGTCCCCGCCCCTGCCAACTACGCATACGACAACGCTCCTACTTTCTTGGGAAGGCTACAAGCAAATTTGCCCGGGGCATACCGTCTTATGCGCGAAGTGCCTCATTCCAACATTCTTGGACTTTGCACTACCGGAATACGATATGTATCTAGGTTTTTTATAGTTTTCCCCTACAATGTCACGTTTGCCCGGGTTTGGCTGTTTCCTTCTTACAAGATCACGCCGCGTGCAAAAAACGTGGGACACAATAGGAGAAAATGTGTATCACAGCGTGAATAGTGAGAAGAATCAAGATAAAGACAAAATAGTATGATTGTATAATTGAGTAGGACAAGAATGCAATAGTATAAAATTA